TCATGCTCATATTGCACGTGATGACAAAGCATGTGATCATAGCATCCAGGGCATAAGAGGCAGCAGGGGCCTCAGTGCAGTCAAAGACAGATCCACAAATTCTGTAGGAGGTTTTATTCTACCCTGAGATTTCCCCTACTGTGTTAGGGCAGCATTGCTGTTTGTAGGTTGGCTTTGCCCTGAGAAATGTACCAGTGACAGAAGTGGTAGTTTGAGTTTGTAACTGTTTCAAATAGTATCATACACTTTGTTTTTGCCATCTGATCTCCTTCCGTCTTGCCTTTCCTTTCCAAGTGGCCTCGGCCCTCACTCCAACCACCAGTATTTCTGCACCTACAGTGACTCAGTGCCACCACAGACAGTGGCTAGGTTCATGTGCTTTCTCTGAATGTAGGAAAGCATATACTATTACCATCTTTAGAGATAATGTACTTGGTTGATCTGACTTACTTCTATGTTTCTTACAGTCTCTGATGGCAGCCAAAGGAGGCAGAATTTCTGCCACCTCATTTGCATTCAATCTATGGGCATTTTTGCTGGTATTCTTGCCAGAAGCACACAGTCTTTCCCCCAGAATGTTGAAAAATGGAATATCTCAAACTCAAAGGATTTCAGCAGAAAATCTGATTTTTAGGCAAGCCAGAGTTCACCACCACAGTGCTTACAGGAGGTGCAGTTTAGATATCAGATGCTCTCCGGACAGTGTATGCTCTTTCCTTAGCCAGCAGCTCTCACAGTACTTCATCAACTCATTCTGGGAGAGAGAGGTACCATCCCAAGAAAGAACCTCTCAGAGAGGAGAATGGGAGTGTGAGTCAGATGTATTCCATTCCTCAGGAAATATTCAGATCTGAAATACTTCAGACTTATCTGAGAGTGCTCAGATTTTTCAACCAAACAACCCAACCATTCCTGTGGAAATATTATGTCCACCTTCTCCTCTACTTCTTTTCTCTGTAGTGCACACTTCTCCAGAATCAGTACCTAATCTGGCTCTTCCTCTTGTGTTACCCACTCTCCTTATTTGAGGAACTACGCTATGGGCCTTTGTTATATCTCCAAGTGGCACTTGGCATTCCATTCTGATGCTATGCTAAACAGTAAACTGAGAGCAATGACTCTCTTTTCTGGACTGATCTCCAGACAAAAGGATCCAAAACACATAATTAGACAAAGGGACTTTAGGGGGTGACTATATTTTGCCTGCATGAGAAAATGCTTAGCTTTTCAAGGAGTGCTTGACTGCTTGAACTTGATTTGGATGCAGCAGATCTTTGTGTTTTCCTCCTGTATGTGTGCTCCAGTAGTGTCTAGGTAGATAAAGTCTGTAATAATTATCCCTAGAGTTGTGGGTTTTTATTGTTTGTTTGTTTTATGTTTGTTGAAAGCTGATGCAGTGATTGTTATTCACAGTTACTGTTGGTGGAACTGGTTATTTCTCCTCATCCATCAGCACAGTTTGCTGTCATCAGCGCAAGATCATCTCTCTTAACTCAGCCATGCTGTTCAGCAGGTGCATGCTTCTTTCCAAACAACGTTACACCTCAGTAGTCATTTTACTCTCATGCCTCAGCTCTATTTTTCTTGGATTAGTTGGGATCTTACCTTGAGAAGGTGCATCAGAAGACTCACTGTGGGATTCATGATTTGTTTGATTGATCGGTTCTTGAGAGGCAGTGCTAGAACTAACAGTGTCCTGAACACTTGCAGGGTTAAATAACTGTGGTTTTGAGAGCCTTGGGGTGAGTCAGTGGAAAAAACTGGCAGCTCTAGGAAGGATAAGAGTGACTCATAATCAAAGAAGAGCCTAAGGAACTCCAAATCCAGCTGCAGTTTAGGAAGGGGAATGTTAGAAAAGGCATTTGCATGCAATTGTGTTTTATTGCTCCAGCAATGTGACCACACCCTGAAGTGGAGAGAGATGTCTCACACTTAACAAATGGAAAGAGTATCCTGTCAGTCCTCAGTGCTCTGCCAACTTCTCTGTCTAATGGGAGGAAAAGTCCATGCCGTACAGTCAGAGGCAGAGATGACTTTATTTCAATGCCATTCAACCACTGGTCCTTTGAGATTGTTCTCCGGTGCTTTATTTAAAAAGGAAGAGAAGGATGAAAGAAGGGGAAAGTGAATAGAGAGGGAGGCTTGTGCTTTAACTCACAAAGATTCAAAACTAAGCTGTGAACATATAACCCCAGGGTGGTTGTATTTGATAGCATGTGTATTCAGGGAAAGGTGCTGATGATCTCAGGAAGGAGGTACACTGAAATCATCTCAGCAAACAGTTCTCTCAAGCAGTGTGAGAACTGGGCAGAAAAAAAAAACAACAAACCAACAAAGGGAACAAAGGATTTGGTTTTCTCTTAGCATATTGGCCACAGTTCTGTGTGTGAATTTTTCTTTACACTGTGAAGTCATATTTTCTACCACTTTCATCATACAGAAAATGCATTCCAAAGCATTATTCTAGTCCTTTAGAGTATCATGAAAGTAGGTCTCCAGTCTTTCAAGCACAGGTTTTTTTTTGAAGCTCCTCAAAAATAATCAGCAAAAAAAAAATTGCCGAATTCATTTCTAAAGAAACTTGGAAAAGTACACCTATCTAGGAAAGAAAGTTTAGCCACTGTTCCATAAAGGCATAGCAGGAAGATCTGCCACGATTTGGTGTATATATATATATATCAGTACATCATGGTAAGAACAGCATTCATTACAACCTATGTAAGAACCAAGGTGCTGAGAAGCAAGGATGACGAGCAGTCAAAGGGATGAGAGCATTTGATTCAAGTGCTCTATTCAAGGTTCCTGCTGTAGATAGATATATAACTTCATCATGGCAAGAGCAATGGTTTCTCAGCTCAAGTGGAGCTATCTAGATCAGTTCCCATCCAGCACTTTGAAATGCACATTTCTTTTGCAGTCAATGAAAAGAAGAGGTTTAACGATCAGGTCAAATGTATTTATGAGGTAGCCTGCATATAGTAGTGAAAAATTGGCTTCTAGCAATGCTGAACATACACAAATGTCCATCATTAGAGTCAGAGAGGATCTCCTATGGCTGTACTTCCTCCCAGATCATCAAGGGAGGCACTGCAATGAAAGAAGTCATCATCAGTATCCAGGCCATCCAGATAAATCAAGTTCTAGAGCACGGGGAATATTGCTAGGGCACCCCAAAGCAGGCAAATAAGCCAGGCTAGCATTCACCAAGCCAGGGCTAAACTCCCTAAGTTCTCCCAAGTGAGAGAAACTTCACTGTTGGTGAAGATTTTCCTAAGGAGATATAAGACCAGTCACTGGACCTTATTTGTCCTTGTAAGGAATGATCTTGTTTGAATAGGAGGAATGTGTAACAAAGGCAATTCCCTTGAGTTCTTGAACTCAAGGCTAACACTGGCTTTGGATAAAGTGCCACTGGTGGATAAGAAATCTGCCCACCCACCGTGGTTTGGGAAAACTATATCCAACGCAGTGCAAGGAGCAGCTGCAGTATTTTACAGGAATACACTACCACTTACAGTCACAATGAAAGCACCCCCTCAACCTCTCCCCCCTCAAACAAAAACAAAAACAAAAAAAAAAAACAGGATTGGAAAAGGTGGAGTCAGTGAGTAAATAATAAAAATAGGGGACTTTAAAAAGCTTTTTGTCATAGTTTGAGTGAAAGACATCATGAAAAATAATTGTATTGTTCCATGACAGTTACCACACCCTGTACACCCTGTACAAATGGTGACAGCATCAAACTTTATTACCTGAGTCACCTGCACCCAAATAACTTGACAGCCAACATTAATCAAATGCTTGACACTGCTCTTCAGTAGTACTTTAGTATCATCATTACCAAGAGATAGAACAACTTCACCCCGTGAAACTTTCTAGGAAGCAGTCTTACAGTGTTTATAGGGTGGGCCCAGCAAATTTTCCTGTCTGATTTCTGTGGTTGTGCTACTTGATTACTGCTACATTTCTGGGAGGACTGGAAATATTCTCACTCACTTTGCATGAATTACCTGCACTTGCTCCCTCAGCTGAGATTTGTTCACTGTATTTCACATTTTCAGGGGAGAAGGCAATAGCCGTAATAAATAGTGTCATGAGTGCTATCTAAAGTAGATACCCCTCCCAAAAACCTTGTCTTTGCAGTGGCATGTTCATCAATGATAATGAATCTTAGAAAAAGTAAAAGATGCAGAGTATGGAGGAAAAACAAGAAATCTGCATTACAAGCGAGTTACTGCAGTAATAATGTGATCTGCATGCCTCAAGTTTTTAAAGGGAAATAAACAGTCTTCTGTGCAAACCTAAGCATCTTCCTCTACCCCAGAACACCTCAGTGGTGTTTCTATTCTGGTTATTCTCCTCTACATAAGGGATCAGGCCATTGAATATGAGCAGTTCCCCAGACCATTTTCTACCAATGCTCAGCATGTGATGTACCAAAGGAATGCCCCTCCTCCATTCTGCACTACCTGTCCCACGTCCCAGACTGAATGGAGGAGGCTGTACAGCAAAAGGGAAAGGGACAACAGGAAGAGAAAATCTTTCCTGACCTCCGTGGGCAAAAGCTCTACTTCCTGGAGTGTAGGCCTGTAGTATGTCATTTTTACTTTACAGAACCACACTCCAATTTAAGCAACCTATGTATATACACAGGCTATTTTTACAGCTCTCCAAAGCTATCCACCCCTGCTCTACATCTCTTCCTAGTCTGGTTCCTTTGCCTCCAGGCTTTAACTGCTGGAGGAACTACCATGCAGATTCTGAAAAAGTTTTTAACTATGGTTTTTTGTTTGTTTGCTTTTTATGCTTACGTGCTTACAGAGTGAAATTAAAATCAGCCTTTTTTGTCACGTGTAAATAAAGCTTATGTCCCTGTTCATTGTTGGGGAGTTGGACTAGATGACTTTGAAGGGTCTCTTCCAACTGGAGAGATTCTGTGATTCTATTCCTTGATTCTGGCCTTCCCTTCATCTTCTCCTTCTGCTCTTGTTCTTCTTCAGATTTCTCTGCACTGGTGTCACCACCTAGGAAGGATCCAAGATGTTGGTACTACTGGCTGGTATCTTTGTGGTTCACATTGCCACCGTCATCATGCTCTTTGTCTCCACCATTGCCAACGTAAGTAGGGGCTACCCTGGATGAGCCACGGAGCTTGGTTGTCGCCTGCTGCATTAGTAGCTAACGACAGGGCTGGAAGCGGGACAGGTGCTTGGGTCTGGAGACTGAAAGCCTGCGGCCCAAACACACGTCGACAGCGGCAGCAAGTGGCCTTGTCAGCGCCGCCAAGGACGCAGGAGAGGCGGCGGGCACTCCGCGCCAGACTCCGCAGCCGCGGAGCAGAGGGCCGGGGCTGGGCGAGGCCGTGCCCGGGGCGATGGTGACCCCTGGCGGCTCCTCGGCCCGAGCCGGGGCCCGGTTGCACACATCGCCACGGGAGGTTACAGCTCTTCTGCCGTCTCATGGTAGGCGAGGCAGAGGACAGATAACCTCTGCGATTTCTGCTGTAGCATGGGAACAGATTTTTCTTGTGTTTTGTCTGGACTAAATGCCCCTTGACATTCAAAGCCAACCCGGCTGTCACTGACATACTCCGTCTCATTCAGCTCTCAATCTTGTGGCACTTGAGCTGTGGCTGCTCCCCTTTACAGTTTAATTGTGGTTAAGGTGGTGCAGTCACCGTCCCTGGAGGTGTTCAAGAACCATGTGGATGTGGCACTGAGGGACACAGTGGGGATGGGCTGACGATTGGACTTCATGATCCTAGTGGTCTTTTCCAATCTTACTGATTCTATGATTCTGATCTCACAATAGGGCAAAGGGTCCCAGTCGGAGGCACAGAGCTCTCTCCCTCATAGCGCAGTTGTGTCATTGTGTTTCAGGTTTGGATGGTGGGTAGGAATTCCACTGGAAATGCCTCCTGGGGACTCTGGATGTGGTGCAACAACACCTGTGAGTCGCTGACACCCAGTGAAGGCAATGCTGGTGAGTAATACCTCCACTTTCGTTGTGGTGATGTCTTGCCATGCTTTGTCATGCAATGTCAAAGCTGAGCCCTGACCTTCTCAAATCTGCTCTGTTGGCAGCTTCCCTCAAAGCAGCGCAAGCCTTCATGATCCTCTCAATCATTTTCTCCGTCATCGCTCTTGTTACATTCATTGTCCAGCTGTTCACCCTGGAGAAAGGCAAACGTTTCTACATCACTGGAGCCATCACGCTGGTTTGCTGTGAGTACACATGCTGGGCAATGGCTTTTCATGCTTCCCGCTGCCTCTGCAAGCACAACAGGCCACATGTCTGCCACTCATGGCCACCAGGGAAGTTATCAGCCAGCTAAAAGCTTTCAGTGGCCCACTTTTTGATTTAAAAAAAAAAAAAAAAAAAAAGCATAGAGCGCTCTGGGCAGCCTGATCTGGTGGGTGGTAACCTTGGCCACAGCAGGGTGACTAGAACAGGACGACCTTCAAGGTCCCTTCCAAGTCATTCTAAGATTCTATGATTCATAGAGGAACTGGAAAATGATCTCCATATATTTTTAATTTAATTTAAATAATGAAATTATTTCCAGATTTTCATTAGACAATCCCAGTGAGTTCTGCAAATTCTCTTCATGAAACAGCAAAAAGCATTCAAGTATTACAGAGGGCAGGGAAATAAACAGTTAGATAGCTACTGCTCATGGGATTCAGTACATAGCACCAAACTGTCTGCAGATCTTATTACCTGATTACTTATTTTGTCTTAACAAAAGTTTATTCCCCCATGGCATCCACTAAAAAAGACCCAAGTGTCTTATGTCACCAAGTCCACAAGAGGAATTCTTTTGAAATAAGCCTAATGGATTGCAGCCCCTCTCTCAGATGACATAAGATATGCATTACAATCTCAATCCAGAATATTACCTCAAATGTCCTACAGCAATGCTGGTTTTTATACATTTTCCAATTCTTTCTTTTCCCTTCTTTCCTCCAGGGATCTGCATTCTGATTGGAGTCTCCATTTACACAGCTCGGTTCACAAAAAAGCAGTCTGTGATCCAGGCAGAAGAGGTGACAAATGCTCACCACGGCTACAGCTTCATATTGGCCTGGATCTGCTTTTGCTTCAGTTTTGTCACTGGCATCCTCTACCTTGTTCTTAGGAAAAAATAAGGTCGATGAGAGTACTGGGGAGAGGGTTGGTTGCTGGGAATGGGGAACAATTGCTCTGCCGAGAGAACTTTTGGATAAATAGAAAGAACAGGATCAGTCACCATCACCACTACTGCCACCACCATAGCAAAACAACAAAACTAGAATCTTCAGAAACTCATTCACCAAAGAGCAGGAGGAACAGAACTGACTGATCTCTCATTCCTGGGGCTGCTACACCAGAAATCTGCAAGTGACCCAGACAGCTGTTCTCCTTTTCTATCATAACTTCACATTCAAGCCCAGCAGTGATGACTGAAGAGCACCGAAAAAATGAGGGCTACATCTTTTTCCCTGTCTAGAGCCCTTCCCACTTGCCTTTCAGCGTGCCTGGTGGGTTGGGCATTCAGGCTTACAACTCCCTTTTTTGTCCATTGAAACAAATGGGATGGGACTTTTGTTACATTTATATATATATACATATATATATATATATGTATGCACATATATGAAAGACATTACATTGAGAAACAACCCAATAGAAATCAGATTAAATTAGTATTAAAAATACTACGGGAACAAGGCAGCTATTTTTTTTTTTTAGTTTTCATTTTTTGCTGTTCTGTTTCCTATTTGACATCCCCATGGTTGAATCAAATACTGGTATGAAGGGCAAGTATACAAATATACAAGCATGGAGGATGGAGAGAAAGAGAGAGAAAGAGAGGGCGGGAGACATACACAGGGGTTCCTAAAAATAGAGAGCGCAGTTGCTCAATGATGCACGTGCAGGGAGGGAATCCTTTGGGTGTGTGTCTGCACTAAAATCTTCTGTTCAGCTCTAGTACATAGCAACAACACCGCAACAAATGTAGGCTTTTTTTTTTTTTTTTTTTTTTTTTTCACATGAACACTCAGGACATGGTATGAATTGGGAGCCCCACCTTGTGACACAGCTCATCTCAATTGCAGATGCTACACGTTAGTAGAGGAAATGTATTCCCTTATGAGAGACTTGGAGAGATGAGACAGGACTTGTGAGTTCTGCCCCGTGCTGCACAACCTTAGGCCAGTCACTTAATCTGGTGCTTTTCCATCCTCCTAGACCTACCTCCTATGGTTGCTGAGAGATTTGGAGAACGCTCTCTGATTCAAGGTCCCCATGTGAAAGGCTGGCAGAGGATAGTCAGGCATTGTTAGTGCTGCAACCAATGCATTTCTGTCACTTTGAAGAACCTCAGTCATGAGTGGAATTCATAAGGGACAAGAGGTTAAAATTTCCTGTGGCTCCATCCATAACTGAAAGGCAGAGAGTTCAAAAAATGTACAGGTGCAGTTTGTGCTCAGATACAATTGTCTCTCTCTCTCTCTCTCTCTCTTTCTGTTACATTTTCTTCTCATGTATACTTTATCAATTTGGTGGATTTACTCTAGTACTGTATGTTGGTGTTTCATTAACAAAGGTTATTTCATATATAGTCATTGTAAATATTTTGAAATGCATATTTTTAACTTTAAGGGTATAAAAATAAAATCTGATTCCCTTTATTATAAAGAATTTTGCTTGTATTTTTTCTTCATTAACATTTCAGATACTTGTTAACAGAAGTATTTGCTGTATTCTCTGAATCAAAACTCACTCCTTTAGAACAATACAAGACTACCATGCCTTGCCTGTCACCCTCCAAGATTTCCCATTTTGGTAGGGAGGAAAAAGAACAAATTTTGAGGCTCTTTTCAGGCTTTCTGCAAGCTCAAACAGATAACATGGGCAGTGGTAACACTCAGCCCCCAGAGCCAGTCTTTACTTCACATCCAAGAGAGCTGAAAATGTACTTTCTTGATCATAGAATCATAGAATTATTTGAGTGGGAAGAGAGCCTTAAAGGTCACCTAGTCCAACTCCCCTGCAATGAACAGAGACATCTACACTAGATCAGGCTGCTCAGAGCCTGGTCGGGCCTGAACCTGAGTGCCTTCAAGAATGAGGCATTCACTATGATCTGTCAGAATCTCATGTCTGTGAATGCTACTGCCTACAGTGCTGCAATATTTATTTTGTCACAGACCAATCCACAGCACAAGTGATTCCTAAAACAAAATCACCAAGGTGTTTGTCTGGGACATTTGACTTTGTAGAGCTCTGTTCTCCTTAGATTCGACCGAACACAGTAGCAACTCCAAAGCTTGTGCAAAAAGTCCAATGCCCAGGACACAGGCAAGTCTCACCAAACTTGGAGTACAATCATGGGAACACTGAGGTGAGACCTAGCAGGAATCTGCTTGTTAGGAACTACTTTTTTAATCAATTAACCCACCATAGGGTAACCTAAGAGACATGCTAACCAAGGGCAAAACCATGACAGGAATCTGTAGCAGGTGCAGTTCCACTGAAGAAAGACCTCATACACAGTAGGATGTGGGAAAGCTCATGGTGTGCTATGAGTGGACATTTGTTTTGGCTTAGGACGTCCCAGGAATCCTGCTGTTCCTCATCCTACTGGCACTCTAAGAAATAAAGGATAACCAAAGACCAGTTAGCTACTAGAGAATGAGGGTCTTCTCTCTACACACCAACACTAGCAGTTGGAGTGTGAGCAGGGGCATGCTAGTCAAGGAGCAGGTATCCGTATCCTGCTGTTTATAGCATGGCACACCTGATAATATGACATCTTACAGGATGACAAGGCAATCCCAACTTTACTGGGATGCCCAAGACAGACAGCAGACAACTGTCTCAATATTTTATACAAAAGTCTACTTCTGCCTCACCACCATTGTCACTGGCAGCTTGGCAAGGATATGAAAGCTACTTGACACTCTGGGCAGCTTGTTTTGGTTCACAGGGGCTTTTAAAGGATCAGGGCTCTGATCTACATTCAGTAAAAATCACTGGGTTCTCTGTCATCTAGCAAACCTTATTGATCCAGTCCCTGAAATACAATCATCACAAATGAGCCTTTGCTTCATATCTAGTAGGTCTCATTACCAGTTTCTGAGTCCTGTTACAATAGGACATGGCAGGTCAGGGAATGACATTTGCCATTGGTGGGACAGAACACACCGAACAGAAAAGCAGAAGCCCCACAAACATAAATCAAATATTAAAGAGAAAGAAGTCAAAATGGATGGGAGTAAACAGCACTACCAGTTGTGTCCTATGATTGGTGTTCGCTCAGAAAGCATCTTCAACACAACCTGGAGATACACTGACCCAACACCACACAGAATGTAAGACACAAAGTCATGGTAGTCCAGGAATAGCCATTGTAGAGATTTCAGGAACCAAGCCTCATGAGGGCCTGGACCAAAATGGAGTCAGGGACAAATCACAAAGGAGCCCTTGCACTGGGAAGAGAGGTCTAAGATACAAGAGAGGCAGAGAAACAAAATGCCTGAAGCTCCACAGCAAAGCAAATGAAGGATTCTCCCTCCTTGGTCTTTCTTCTGTATGTCACAAAGCAACACAATATAAGGAGGAAGAGATTTTCTATAAACATTAATTCATGGCATTTGACTACACTAACTCAATCAGATGAAATAACTGTCTGATTAAAAACACACCCCAGGAGTTAGCAGAATCCGTACACTGAGGAAAGCTCTGCTAGACCCAACTTTCCTGAAACCCCTTCAGGAATGAGGGTAAACTGAAGTTCTCCAAACAGGAGAAGCTTGGTTTAATAAGGCATTGCCAGCATCAACCATTTTATTAGACACACTCAGGAGGAATGGGTGAAAGCCATTTCCATTCTCACCACAATGTAAGCAGAGCAGAGAGCTGCTGAAAATAAGTGACAGCCAAGGGGGCAAGAACAAAAGACACTCTCATTCTGACCAGAGCATCAGGCCATGGAGGCTGGGCAGAAACTGTCCAGTAAGTGTTCACATTAGCAGGTTTGAAATGATTTGTATGTTTTCAGAGGTATGTTGTAAGAGCAGGAGAGAATTTGAGGGAGATTCCTGCTCTGTGACAGGCAGAAGCCAAAACTCGCCAAGCAAAATAACTCTGACTTCTGGGCTGATCAAGGAGTGCTGACAGCGCTGGAAACACAGATGCAACAGCACCATTACAGAATGCAGCTGCCTGACAGCACAGCCAAAACAGGAGGATGGCTTGACTCCCTTGTAGCAAAGGCAACATAACAAAAACTAAAACCAACAACAACACAAAAAACAAGCCTGCAGGGAATGGGAAGACAACGGGAGGCACAAAAGTTGATGCTGGGAGTGGTGGTAAAAGATTACGGGTCACTTCCAGCAATGCAGTAATTCTCTACTGCTGACATCCAGGGTGCAGTTAGCCCAATAATCATTTAACAGAAAAAAGTTAGAAGAAATCAACGTGAAATATTATTCCATTCAAAACATATCCAGCCCAGGAGGCAGCCCAGAAATGTATACTGTAGTTGTTTTAGTTGTGTTAGTTGGCTGCCTAATCTTAGGATTATTTACATTTGCAGCTCTGCCTTCTCAGATAATAGCAGCCAGGTACCAGTTGATTGCCAGAGGAACTGTGGAGGAATTTGAATCCCAAACCCTGTGTTCCTGCATTACACAGTTGGTGAGGTGCATCACTGCAGGCAGCTCAGCTCCCAGATCTTGTCAGAGCCTCGGTTCTGGATTAGATACACCAGTGATCTGATGCATGATGACAAATCTCATGTTGCACAATTCACTCGAAGTATGTGGGTATCTGGGATAAATATACACCTTGTCATCTGTTACACTGCTTAGGAAACTTGATTGCCTTTCTGCTCAACCTAGTGCAGAAGGCTGAAGCTGGCAGCCTTCCCCCTTTGTACCCCCTTAGCAAGTAATGAAAAGGCAGTGCGGCAGGCACGATCTCTGAGAGCTGACAGGCAGGGGCCAGCATGCAGAGACATGAAGGAGCTCCAAAAAATCCCACAAGCTTGTCACATCATAGCCATGACTGGTCCTATGCAGAGCACCCTGGGAGGTGATGGCAGCCTGCAAGTCCTTCTGATGGTTAGCAGCTCCCAGAACCAGGTCCAAAGCTCTCACCAATTTTATTTACAGTCTCAAGGAGATAGAAGATAGACCTAAGGGATTTTATGTTTCTAAACAGCATTTTGAAGCAGAAGAGCATTCTGGTACATTGCATAGAGGATGACCAACCATACAGAACAGCAAACTACTTTGTAGTAAAGAAACCAGAAGCCCGCCACTTCATGACCTTTAACTAGAGACAGTTTGTAGGATCTGTAAGAAAGCCAGAGTGTGAAGAAGGTGAGATAGAGGTGATAAACAGGAGGCCCATCCCAGAAGCCAGAGCACTACCAAGCCAAGAAGATGGCCTGGCAATCAGTCATCAGATGCTGTCATGAGCAGGACAAAGAAATGGGAGATCAGACATATGAATGAAAAAGAAATAGACAGGAAGAGCAAACACTGCAGGAAACATGAAGACCATCACAGTCCTAATGACTTGAGGGAAGAAGAGCAGTTCAGTGGCAGGTGATTGGAATTTGGGACGCATGAATATCATTGCTATTGTCTAAGTATACAGAGCAGCTGACACAGACAGTAGGATTTGGCAGTAGGATCTCTGCTCCAAGGCAGTGCTCGTGTGCAGACCTGATGAAAACTGGGACAAACAGTTTTAACTATCTCAGTGACAAGGACCTACATATGCTCTTTCAGCCTCACGTTAACCAAAGCCCCCAGTCCCCTGCGTTGTCACTAGAGGTCAGTGCAAGCCCAGTGATCCCTCTGCTGACTATACCGGATGATTTGAAATACGGGTATCGCCAGCCATGGCTGGTGCTGCTTTGCCGTGATGTAATTCAGAAATGGGAGCATGCCCCAGGCTCACTTGGCAGCCCTGAACCAGGCCCCTGCTGGCCTGTGGCAGGTCTCATAGTAGAAGGCATGTTGGGACAGCT